AAACTACAAATTTCATTCTTAGGCATTTTTAATTTAGGAAAACCTCGAACAAAATCATTATTAGACAAATTCACCAAATCATTAAAGTTTACATATCCAAGTCTTTTATGCCATAAAACAGCCTCATCAGTAACTGCAGAAAAACACATTAGTGAAGGATCTGAAAACACAACATAGCAATTATCAGAAGTTCTAGTTCTTTTCAAAATACACTCACCTTTTTCATTAGTTACACAACACCCTTGTTGAGTAAAATTGAATTGAAACTCCTCATCACATATTTGACTAATACTCAACAGATTAGCAACTAAACCTTTAACATATAGAACATTTTTTAACTCCCCAATTCCTGAAAATTTGATCTTACCACTTACTGTAAAAGCATTACCATCACCAAAAGTAACAGTATCAACTGAGCATTCCTTAAAATTTTCTATCCCCTGTCATATGCCTAGAGCAACCACTATCAAAGTACCAACCACATAGACCAAGTGTTCTAAGTGCTGTGTGCATGGCAAGGCATTTAAAATTTTCTTTCTTTACCCAAACAATTTTAGACATTATGCAATGATTTCCTTATTGTTCTAGGAAAAGTGTCACAAGACTCAAAAGTCTTTTTTTTTCTCTTCTTCTTAATTGAACTTTCGAGATTTTTCAATTTCTTCCCTAGTTCAATTTTTCTTTTCTGACACTTATACTTGATATGTCCTTTTTCACCACAAAAAATGACATGTTGAAATAAGTTTGGGAGAACTAGAGATAACATAAGGTTTGGTTTCAACTTTCATAAAAATATCTTTAGATTTTTGAAAATACAAATCCTTTGAAGTTGAAGGTAATTTTTATTTTTTTACTACAAGTATTCTCAACCACTTCTTTTAACTTATCAGTTTTGCAAGTGTCAATGTCAACTTTTTAAAAAGACTGTTTTGATTTAACAAACTCACTACTTAAATTATCAATTTTTAATTCAAGTGATTTATTAAACAAATTTACCTTCTTAAGTTTCTTTTCTAGAAAATCAATCTTATGAAGAAGATTCAAATTTTTATAGCCAATTTCTTCCAAATTTTTATTAGAGATAGAAACTTCTAACTTATAAATATATCTATCAAGTTCTGCAAGATTCAATTTCTCAAACAAAATTTCAAAATCTTTTTTAAACTTAGACCATTCAATTTGTATACTAGTGACAGAATCAAAAATAGGAGTTAAAGGCAACACATCAATAAAAGATGAATTTTCAGACATGATGCAAAAATCAATAATAAATAAACAAATATGATCTACTCAGTATATCGAGTATCCCGCTTTGATACCAATTGTGAAAATAGTGTTACCGCGAGGTGCGGAAATTATTAGTTCATTTTAATTATGATTAACTCCTTTAATGACCTAGATCTGATTATTAGGTCAACTTACTCAATTTATGATTGATTAAATTATTTGATCAATTAACCATCCACAATCATAAATATAAATACTGAAAAGTAAAGCAAGTTAGGGTTAGAGAGATTGTACCAAGATTTTTAGCGAGGAAACCCTAGTTGATAAAATACGTTAACTGTTTGCATAGGAAAAACCTAGTGGACTATGCAGTCTAAAGTAAACTGATCCAATATGTTTGAAACAAAGTACACTGAACTTTGACTCTAGCTAATACCCTACCGTTCTACCAAACACTAATTGCTGACAATTCTCTAGCTTTACGACGTCCCGTCCAACAGCAACTTGACCTCAAGCTTATGCTTTATCTTTATAGAAGAGTAGCAGGTAGATCAGACAACACTCCTCGAATGCTCCAACCCTTTCAAAGTGTGAACGCTTTTACTTCTGTTTTTCAAGATCTAAACTCGATGTAGAAGAATTAAATCCTGTTTTTTCTTCGAAATCTCTGAATCTTCAATATAGCTCCAATTCCGAGGAGATAGAGAACAACACTACTAAATCACTCATGAATATGTGTGTGCTATCAAAAATTCATTCAGAATAATCAGATTTGACTTTCTAAATTTTCTCTCTCAAAGGCTTTCTCAAAATATATAATTGATGTTCCTTAAAGCCATGAATAAACTTAAATGACTATCAGGGTTTATATAGAGTTTAGAATGTCCTAATCCCTCTGAAAATATAGAAATTTTGTGCATAAGACTTGGAAAAAAGTTTAGTCCAAAAAGGAATCAAACAGAATAAGAAATGAAAGTTTCCAAACTGTTCAGGATGCCTTGAACCGGTACAAGATTTTGGCTACCAGTTCAAAAAGGTTAGAATGGTTTCCAACTTCTGACGTATTTTGAACAATTTGCTTCCCGTACCAGATTTGGCTGCCGGTTTCCAATGGTTTGGCTACCAGTACTAGATTTGGCTACCAGTTCGCAATAGTTTGGCTACCAATACTAGATTTGGTTACCAATACCAACTAGACAGAATGTAAATTTCCTAAACTCTTCAAGTACACTGAAATTTCTCACTCACTCGCATACCTTTCTAAAGTATTGTTCTCATTATCACGGAGTGCTGTAAACCATGAACACTTGAACTTCTTCAAATCCGCATTCAATCTTCAATCTTGAAATCTTGAATTAAAAAATTACAACTCGATCAGACTTGTTTTGACAACGAAATTAGCCAATTACAAAATATATATCTCACAAATTCCTAAAAAAAATCTGAAGATTTTATTGAGGGTGTCTTTAGCTGTATGAAATTGGAACCTAGGAATTGGAATTAGTGAAATTTAAGAAAATTTTGGTTCAATTTTCTTAGTTGTTTTTCTCAAATTCTACCAATTCTAATTCCAATTCCAAGGCTCTAATTTCAGGCAAACGAACACACCCATCTTTTTGAAAAATCTAAACACTTGCACGTACAATGTATGTTCTCGAATAAAGAAAAACAATCATAAAAGCTGACTCATTCTTCTACTAAAAAACTCACTTCAAAGCTCTAATGCTATGTTTGGTGTGTATGAATGTAATGAAATGTCCATTTCAACCATTCCTTTGTTTGGTATGCAATTTAAAGTGGAAATAAGCATTCAATTGAAATGAAAATCCACTCTTTTTTTTTTATAAAAAAAAAATAAGTTCCCAAAATACCCTTATGTTCTAAGTTCAAAAACCATTACCACCACCACCTTTCACTACCAACACTGCCATCATTACAATTGTTGCCACCTTCAACCACCACACCGCCACCACCTACATTATCTTCCACCATGCCTAAATCCACCGTTGCCACCATCACCACCGATGTACACCACTGCCATCGCTTTCGACCACCTCTATTGCCTTCCACCACGGTTATTGTCATCACCACCGTCACCAATACCACCACCATTGCCACCTCCATCACCACCAGTACCATATTCCACTACTGCTATTTCCCACCACCACTTACACCGTTGTCACCTTCCACCACTGCAACCACCATTACTGCCACCACCATACTGTCGACATCGCCTTCCACCACCACCACACTGTTGTTGCCACCTCCATCGCCGCCGCCACCACCACCACTGCCACCTCCACCGACTTATACCACTGCCACCACCTTCGACTTTTACCACCGCCAGTGCCTTTAACTACCACCTCCACTACATTTGACCACCATCACTACCATGAAAGGTATGGTGTTAAGTTCACAACTAACTCATGAGCTAGTAGTTTTGGTATATAATTCATGTGGAGAGGAAATTCCATAAGCATAATGGAAAATTGATGAACTCGTATAGGATTTTCCCTTGCCAGCTAGCTAATTGTTCAACCATATCGTGCATATCACTAGCTATATATATATATATGCCTTGTAGGTTTCTTTTCTAATTTATTATTTTTTTCAATGAGTGTATATGGGAAGATTTTATTTTATTTTATTTTTGTTAGATATAAAGGGTGTTCTAAATTTACTTGTGAGTATCAAAATTATGAGTTACACATTGCAAAAGTGGTGTACATGAAAAGTTTGATCTCAGACAGAAGACCTAGAGGTGGTGAATAGGTTTAGTTTGTGCTTTTGAATAACATTTAGATTAAAAATATTTTTATTTTATTGAATTAAAGCTAAACTAATCACAAAATAATAATAAAATATTAGTAAAGTAAATAAAGTTAGAGATGACATGAGGAATTTTTTTATGTGCAAGAACCTCAGCAAGGAAAAAACTATGGAATCTAGTTGTCTCTCCCAAACCAATCCAATATCTCAAAGCATTGTTGTACAAACCTTATTTGAGCCTCACATATACTCCATTTACTAAGAACTAGTAGTTGAACGTCCCAGACTGACTCCTACAACTCCTCATCAAGTTGTTGAGACTGTAGTCTTATTCCTCAATTCTTACACACGAGTTGCTTGTAGAGCACTCTGTCCCCTTTCGTAGTAAATGGATCACTTTCCTTTTAATCACAAAGTTGAAAGGAAAAATAAACTCCTGGCTAATTGAACAAAATAATCCGTAGATGTCTCGATAGTGTTGATCAAATAGAGAACATCATCCTAATATCACTCACACGTATCTGTGCTCTCCAATAAAGAAAATCAATTTAGGAAATTAGTTGATTCTTTTGTCACAAAAAACTCACTCCAAAGCTCTAAGAATTAAAGATAAATATGTCTCTCTAATGCGTGTAGAGCTGGAGAAAAGAAGAATTTTTATAGACAAGAGAGTCCAAATAAAAGTACGAAAATGAGTTTTAAATTTTTATTGGATGTCCCTAGATTTTTGTTTGAAAAGGGTATCAATCCAAAAACATAGATATATTTGGTAGAGAAATGGTGTATTTTCTGCTTTGAAACCATATAAAAGGATTGAATTATACATATAGTGAATCATAAATAACATATTTGAGAATAGTTTGATACAAGTATAATACAATGATAACTTTAAATAGATAGATGTAGTTATGCAAATTTTATTTTTTTTCCAATACTTGTGGTTGTCTTGATCTCTTATTTAGACTTAAAGCTTGATTAATAATGGTAAGGTGTTCATGTTGTGAATGACAGGTACTTTACCAGATGAGATTGGTAACCTTAATCTCGAGAAACTTAATGTCTTTGGAAACCACTTAACTGGCACCATTCCGTTCAAAATATTCAATGTGTCAACAATGAAAATCCTTTGCCTGGGATTTAATAACTTTTCTGGCAATCTTCCTTCGGACATGGGGTTTTGGCTTCCGAATCTTGAAGGGCTTTACCTATTCATTAACAAACTCAGTGGAACAATCCCGAGCTCTATCTCTAATGCTTCTAAGCTTACCATCATTAGCATGGGCACGAACTCATTCACTGGATCTATACCCAACACACTTGGTAGTTTAAGACTCTTGCAAAGGCTTGCCCTTCACGCAAATAGTTTGGCTGGGGAGTCTTCTACTCCAGAGTTGAATATTTTCTCTTCTTTAACAAATTGTAGACAATTGGAGGTCTTAACCATATCATTAAATCCACTAAACGGCATACTTCCAATGTCTGTCGGGAATTTGTCTACTAGACTACAAATATTTGAAGCACTTGGCTACAAAATCAGGGGCAACATTCCTAGTGGAATTGGAAATTTGAGCAACTTGGTAATCCTACGATTAGGAAACAACCATTTGACTGGACCAATTCCGAAATCACTAAAAAGATTACAAAATCTCGTACGTTTGCATCTTCAAAACAATGCATTGAAAGGATCCATCCCGGGTGACCTCTGTCAGTTAGGGAAATTAGGAGATTTGAATGTGAGTGATAATATGTTGTCTGGACAGATTCCGACATGCTTGGGTGAGCTTAAATCTCTAAGATGGCTCTACCTTTGCTCCAACAGATTGAGTTCTAAGGTACCGTTAAACTTGTGGAGCCTTGAAGACCTTTTGGGTCTCAACCTATCCTCAAACTTTCTAACTGGTGAGCTACCATTGTCTGTCGGAAACTTAAAGGTCATAACCCTAATTGATTTGTCAAGGAATCAATTATCAGGTACAATCTCAAACACCATCGGAGGAGCTCAGTCGTTAGTTTCTCTCTCGTTGTCCCACAATAAAATGCAAGGACCTATTCCTCGATCACTAGGCAACCTCATAAGCTTGCAATTATTGGATCTATCTGGTAATAATTTGTCTGGAGAAATTCCCAAGTCTTTTGAGGAACTCAGGTATCTCAAATATTTGAATGTGTCTTTCAATAGACTGGAAGGAGAAATTCCTATTGCAGGACATATCCCTAATTTTACAGCTCGATTGTTTATGCATAATGATGCACTTTGTGGTGAACTCTGACTGCAAGTTTTCCGTTGTAAAACCAACAAGAATGGGCGATCAAGGTCGAAAATTGTACCCGTGCTGAAATTTATTTTACCCTCGATTGCATTAGCATTTCTTGTTATGGCCCTCATATATTTGTTGAAAATAAATCGAAAACAAAAGATCGAATTGCATACCGAGGAAGATATATTACCTTTTGCATGGAGAAAGGTTTCGTATCAGGAAATTTTACAAGCGACAGAATCATTCGGTGAAACAAACCTAATAGGCATGAAAAGTTATGGTTCAGTATATAAAGGAACGCTTTTGGATGGGATGAATATCGCGGTGAAGGTATTCAATTTGCAACTAGAAGGAGCTTTCAAGATTTTCGATGTCGAGTGCGAAGTAATGCGTAACATTCATCATCGGAACCCAATTAAAATCATCAGTAGTTGCAGCAACATGGATTTCAAAGCCTTGGTACTATAGTACATGTCTAATGGGAGTCTCGAGAAGTGGTTGTATTCTCATAACTATTGTTTGGACATTCTACAACGGTTAAACATAATGATAGATGTCGCGTCAGCATTAGAATTTTACATCATGATCATGGAACACCTATTATTCACTGTGATTTGAAACCGAGCAATGAAGACATGGTTGCATGTGTTGCTGATTTCGAGATTGCAAAACTCTTAGTTGATGGAGATCTAATGGTACAAACCATGACCTTGGCAACAATCGGGTATATGGCACCAGGTGATGTTTGTTAATTCAATTTTCAGCTTTTCCTTTCTTTTTTTTTTTTTTTTTTTCTGAACTTGTGTAGTCCTTTTCCTTGATTAGAATCTTTTTTCATTGTTTTTTTTTTTTTTCTAATTAATAATGCTGATGTGGTGCATAGAGTATGGAATTGAAGGAAGAGTATCAACAAAATATGATGTCTATAGTTATGGTGTCTTGTTGTTGGAAACATTTTCAAGGAAGAAGCCGACTGATGAAATGTTTGCCGGTGAGGTGAGCTTGAAGCGTTGGGTGAAAGAAGCATTAGAGGGTTCGATAATTGAAATTGTGGACACCAATCTGAAAAAGAGATGATGAAAATTTCTCTGCTAAGGTGGAATATGCATCATCTATCTTTCGTTTGGCCATGGATTGTTCCAATGATTCAGCCAAGGAAAGGCTCAATATGATCGATGCTTTGGCCACACTCAAGAAAATCAAAACCTCTTTTCTAGCAAATATTGGTACCACTTTGAAAGATGAAGCAATCAAGATTAACATGTATCATTTTTAGTAGTATTTTGTACTTCTCATATTTTTCTCTCTAATAATTTAGGTCTGCTTTGAAACAATTTTTCTTGAGAGAAATGATGTTGAAGATCCTGTTAAAGTCCGTGTGTTGTGAATAATTCACAATTTGCATCCTTAATTTAAACTCATTTTTGAGTCAACCTTCGAAGCTACATCTCTCTACACTGGCCCACTCTCTTCTTTCTTCCCACTTCTCAAACCGCTCTCCAAAATCCTACAATTTGATAAAGGTTGAGTCACGCTCCATATATGCCCAAATCCTTCTCCATCGATCCGATGTGGGATAAGCTCCATCTAACAATTAACATAGATGTAACTTAAGTATTTACATACTAGAAGGTATGATATTTTCTTTTTTTAAAAGTTGAAGCAACTGCCCACACAACCACATGCAATTTTGCCCCTAGTGGGGATCAAACTCTGAACTCTTCTTTAGAGAGGGAGATCATATCATCTAGATTACTGTCCATTAGTTACGATGCATATTTGCATGAATACATACATATTATGCACAAATACATGTAGTTGTTACATTATCTATTGAATAGCTTTTATTTGACAAACTGAAATGTTATCATGGACCACATATTTTCCAGAGACTAATGAAAAGAAATGTATTACATACACAAGAAAGAAAAGGAAAATATAATGATCACATTTCCAATCCACCAATGCCAATTAACTTGGTCAGTCCAAAAGTAATCGCCATGGCCATGCATCCTCCAATTAGCACCCTAGCACAGGACTTCTCCACAGGAGTCCTCCCCAGCACAGCTCCAACCCCTCCAAACACCACCAATGCCAAGCTCACTGCAGCCACCACCACACCCATCCTCACCTTGTGGTTTTGTATAAATGCAGCAGCAAGCAACGGCACTAAGGCCCTGAGTGAAAACGCAAGCACGGATGCTAAAGCTGCCTGCAGATTGGGCAGCTTTTCCTTCTGTCTCTTGTACTACTACTTCATTATCTCCCATCCCTCTCCTCTTCTCTCTCTTCATTTGAGCCACCTCTATGTCCAGTTGAGAGTATACGGAGACAAACTCGCCTATAGCCATGCTACAAGACCCGGCAACTAACCCAGTTATGTGATGTTGATTCAGTGTACTCTTTCTTCTCTTTTCCTAACTCTCCACTCCAGCAACAAATGTCACAAATGGCGGGTTGTTATTGTTATTATTATTATTATTATTGTTGTTGTTGTTGTTGTTGTTGTTGTGATGTTGATTCAGTGTACTCTTTCTTCTCTTTTCCTAACTCTCCACTCCAGCAACAAATGTCACAAATGGCGGGTTGTTATTGTTATTATTATTATTATTATATGTAAAAAATATGTAAAAACCAATTATATGTAAAAAAATATGAACAATACCTGTATCCAACACAGATGGGATGAAGTTCGTCAAACCTAAGTATGTGGCCCAATAAGTACATGACAAGTGTCATCCAGCCCCATTCAACCCAAGTTGGATAGTACTCAACTTAAATGAGTTTCACCCGGCAGAACAATTGTTTCTTTTGGCAGAACACTTTCGTTTTTTTTGCTTTGCTTCTAGAAGATCACTCCCTTTGCTCTCTCTCCGGCCCTTTTTGTGCACTTGCCTTTTATTTTACAGAATCCAATTGTAATAAATTACTTTAATAGGTATAAAAATTGTTATAAATTGAATAAAAATAAAATCAGTGAAGCTGAAAATGTTTCGGCAGAACACTAGAATTATTTTTATTATTATTATTATTATTATTATTTTTTTTTTTTTTTTTTTTTTTTTTTGGTTGCCAGAAGATCACTTCCCTTTGCTCTCTCTCCAACCCTTTTTGTGCACTTGCCTTTTATTGTACATCACATTTGGGTAGAATCCAATTGTAATAAATTACTTTAACAGGTATAAAAATTATAATAAATTGAGAAAATGATGGAATAACAAGTTGAAAATTTTCTGATGTTATATTGAAGCTGAATAACTATGTAATCATTATCTAAGCACAAAGGATAAAATTTATCTCCCAATTAATTTGTATTACCGAAATAATTCACACAAAAGGGGAGTCATTGGACCAAGTCTACTGTGTTACTACATGATACAAAAACTTTGATAATTAACTGGAAGAATAAAAAGTAACATATGCAAGCTTTCAAATAGCTTTCCGAATAGTCCTCTAACAGTGAGGAAAATATTCAAACTCGTTGCCTTCTTGTATATTTTGTGGGAGGCTACCATGATGAGACTCCTACAAATATTGAAAAACGAAAATGATAAGAAGATAAAAATAATTAAATCTTAATCTTTAACATTAACAACCATTTTTTTTATTATAAAATAAATATATGAAGTAATCAAGCGTAAAACATATTGGGTAGCCGATTTGTGTTCATCATTGAATGAGATGTAGAAGGCAATTCTGTTCCATAGGTCATCATTGAATGAACTATAGAAGGTATTTTTGTTCCACTCCCAATTTGAGATTCCTATAAAATAAGCAAAAATGTGTTGAGTAAAGAAATAACCAGAATCTGACTTCCCGAGGCCATGTAAAGAAACATAACACGACAAAGAATGAATTACCTGAGTCAAAAAAAGAAGAAGTTTGAATTCCATGTCTAACTTGTTGCTCTTGTGAGTTACATGTTACAAGTATTAGAAATAGGCTCCTATAATATTTATTGAAAATAAAAAGTAACTACCAAAAAAAAAAAATTGGTAGCATTTTATTTATTTATAAGTTTCAAAGCATACTTTGGTAGCATTTTTTGAATCTTTGGCATATGATTTTTTTCTTCCTTATCGAGTGCACTAGTTATTCGACCACGCGGACGCCCAATTGTGGCTTTTCTTTTAACCCCACAAGCTTCTAATGGCTCATAATTCTTTGGTGGAACTATCTTTTCAACTTCCTCATTGTCTATGTAAAGTTCTTTCTTCATCTCCTCCAAGTCATTAAGCAACATAAGAGCATATTTATTTGCATATGCATATAACTTCTCATGTTCTGAGGCTAAAGATGAATCCTCATGAAAATTTTGACACAAATTACTATAACGCTTTGCCATAGGAATTTCATTGGCTTCAATACCATGACAATTGGTGATAGTCCTTGCCTTTGAATTTCTCATTGTTTTGAAGAGTACATTTCATATGAGCCATACAATCAACTCTTGTAATAGGTTGATTGTACAAAGAAGGTTTGCTCTTGTTCTCTCTCCTTTTACCTTCTTTTGAACAACAAAATGTCACACTTATGATGAGCCCCTTCGTATTTTTTTGACGAAAATTTCGCCTTACATCGGAGCCAAGTTTGCCACCGTAGTTGAGGTAGAACTTATATACTTCCTCATCTTAACTAAATTCCATCTCAAGTTCGGGTTCATCTCTTTTATCTTGATTTTCTTTTTTTGAGGAAAAATCATTAGTACGAGAAGAACAATCATCATTAGTTTCACAATTATTTGATTGGTCACTACTTAATTTTACATACTCCATCTCCTCCATTAGTCTACATACAAATAACTTGTGACTGGTTAAAACCAGAAAAATTAAATATGCAAACCAAAATAAAAACTTACAGTAGCCACTTCCTTTACAATTGTTCAATGTACTTGCGGAAAAAATTCATGGATTTAAAGAGGAAAAAGAATAATAAAAAGACAACAAGCAATTCAAACAAGAAAATCCATTTCAGGCAATTTATAAAATGTCTCAAGACTCTCAACCAGTTTTAGAAAATTTTTAGTTTGTAATTTCATTTGAGCGTAAAAAATGTGGTAATTGTTGATAAGCTGAAGATATGTTCAGCTTCTGTCGGTCTTCAAACCCAAGACGGGGGAAGTGTCACACTAGTTTCTTATGTTGAATAGAGGTATTGGGAGATTGTTGGGTTTCTGAAGCCTGATTGTTTAGGGTGGAGGCCCGAGCTATTTTATTTGGTGAAATTATTATGATGATTCTAATGTAAACATAGTACCAGGCTATTTATTTTCGTTGTTGGCTACACTTCAGTCTAGGTGATGATTGTAATCGATGTATCACTGTACCTTTTTCCCTAAAACTAGTGAAATCAATGTGAGCCGTGGACATAGACGATCTTGTCGAATCATGTAAAATTTGTATGTCGATTTTTTTGTGTTTATTAGAATTTCAAGGCTCCAATTACATGTAGTCTCAGTGCACTATTTCTGCAATTTTTCTTTTGGATTCCACAGCCATATGTTCAACAACTATCCTTGTAGGTTTAGGCTATGGCCTTCTCTTCTGGCTATCGCTTTGTGTGATTCAAGCTCTTGGGGGTAAAGTTGACCTGTAGATAGAGGGGCACACCCTTATATTGTTATACAATACTGATTTATTATTATGTTTTATTGGAGATGAAAATAGTCACTACATAATGTGGTTTTGTAAATCAAGGATTTTGAGAGAGGATGAACTGGAATTCTTGAACTCAAACTTGCTTTGTTATTAATAATAATACGAGATGTTAACACAGTAGTAAAATCTCCTCTTTAATAAAACCCTTACTATATAGTCTGGTTTGGAAAATATGGACAATCCTCATAGGATTATGATGGCAATACCAGTTTGGAAAAGAACATATATTTGACACAAGTAGGCAGTGTTGATAGCTAAAAAAATTTCTCAAAGAAAATTTTTCGGTGATGCTACGTAATTCGTGTCATCTATCAATTATACTTTATCACATATTTAAAAATTATTTATTTTAGAGTCATATTACATTACGTGTCAATATTTAATAAATTGGCAATACCATACCATTAATAAAATGAAAACAATAAAGTATTTCTCCTCGAACACAAGATAGTTTACAATTAGGTTTGAAGACGAAGCAATTTGTATTGATAAGAAATATGTAGTGTGTGGTATTAACTAGCCCATGAACAAAAAGGCCAAACCAGCCCTAATGGCAGTATAACTAGACCCATGAGAAAAGGGTCATAAGTGGCCTATACAGGGACACAAGCCCATAAACAAAAAGGCCAAACCAGCCCTAATGACAGTATAAATAGACCCATGAGAAATTCAATGGCATGGTCAATGTGATTGTTTTTTTCCTTTAAACTTTTGGTCTCTTCCCATAATGATTTTTTTTTATTAAAGCAAATAATAGGTGGAGACACATAACAATTGGTGAAAGTAAATAATAGGCCGAGACGCATAACAATTGGTGGAAGTAAATAAGGAAGCCCACCAATTGTTAGTCTCCACCTATTATTTGCTTTAATAATACTACATTTAGTCATTTTAATTATGTGGTCTACTTCTCGACTTGACTTTAGTGTTGCATTTATTTATTCATTTATTTTTTTAATAGTAAAGTAAATATACATTTTTCCTCACTTATATTCTCCTTTCCTCTTTGGTGTATTACATGTCTTTACTTTGCACGATGTAAATTAATTTTGTCTCTTTCACGCTTTCGCTTTAGCGCTCTCAAAAATATTTACTACAAGGGCAAAGTAATACACCAAGCCTTGCTTATTGTGATTCTTGTACAAAATTGAACAGGAGAACAAAAAAATCGTTGTTAAGAATGCGTTTATAAAGAAGCCACAAAGTATTAGAAACAACTCTAAAATTTAAATTACATAAGGATCTTCTAGAAATTATAAGTATCACAAATTTGTATAAGCATTACGTTTTTACTCCTATTATTTAATTGGATGGTGTGGCTATACATACCCTTTTTTAGAACACAGTTATAAAAAGTTTGATATGACCTTTTAATTTTGTATTTGTATTATTTGCCTATAAATTATGTATAATTTTGAATTTGCCCATACTAAAATTATGAAAAAAATTCAATATTTAAATTTGTCCCCACTGATATTTTTGGATATGACCTAAACTCCTCTCTTATTTTATATTTGGTTTTTGTATGTATAGATTTTAAAATTTCAATCATAGGGAGATTCTGTAATTATGACAAATCATAAGGAGGTCCATGTAATTTAAGTATGCAAAAATAAGATATATACTAACTATAATACAAACACACATTTAAATTTGTTTTATTTGGCATAGTTGTGTTACTTCAATACAAACAGCTTTTTTCTTCAATTTTGTATGAATATCTCACTTAATATAAAAAAATCATCAAGAACAATTGTAAATGTTACAAATAAAAATGTTATCAATCAAAATATATATTTTTTTAATTTATTACTTTGTTTTGAAAAAATATCTTTAATTTTTTTTTCCTAGAAAAATGTCCTCTTTGAATTAGTCAAAATAAATAAATAAATAAATAAAATAAAATAAAAAATATCTCCTTGGTCATTGTTCCTTGTACTTTCCGTCAAAAAAATTTAGAGATAGCTTCACACAAGGTGTCCTTTACTGGTGAGACCTTGCAAGTGTTCACACGTATTAGTTAGTCAACCCCACCAGAACTTTCAAAAGTTGATTATATGCTGTGCTTCATTTCATTTCACCATCGTATATAAATCCCGCTAATCCATGCATCCATCCTTGTAATTTGCTATATATACACATACAACTCCATTAATATATAGTTTATTCACTAATTTACCATGGAGAAGATTAATTGCTTCCTCTTTTCCATCTCAATATTACTGGTAAACTGTTTCATGGTTTGCTTGTCTAGCTCCATCACAAACTTAACCACCGACCAATTTTCTCTTCTTGCCTTCAAAACCCGAATCACTTATGACCCTTAAGATGTATTGGCAAGTAATTGGTCCTCCACTACCTCAGTTTGCAATTGGATTGGTGTCTCTTGTGGTCTCACCCACATGAGGGTCACGACCTTGAATCTCTCTCATTTCGGTCTCAAAGGCACCATTGCTCCACATCTTGAAAATCTCTCATTTCTCGTATCACTTATTATCCGCGATAACAATTTCGATGGAAATATACCCAAGGAGTTGGCTTGTTTGCATTGACTCAAAGAAATCCATTTGCAAAACAATAGTTTGTCTGGAAGTTTGCCTGTAGATATGTGCAGCAATCTTACTAAACTTAAAGGACTTAATCTTTCTCAGAATCGGCTTCATGGACAAATTCCATCTAGTTTATTCAATTGCAGGGAGCTCCAATATTTGTCATTTTCATTCAATGGCTTTGATGGAAACATACCTAGAGAAATTGGCAAACTGACTATGCTCAAGGAGTTATATCTTGGTAATAACAACTTGAAAGGTATGATTTTACGTTCACATCTAACCCAAGAGTTTGTAGTTAATTTTGATATTTATATACCTTCTATTGAAGGTGTTTCCCTTGCTGATTGTTTAACCATATCATGCATAACACTAGATTGATCAATAAGACTTGTAAGTTTCCTTTTTATTATACGGAAAGAGTATTCTATAATTACTTTTTATTATTTGTTTTTCTTTTTATTATACGGAAAGAGTATTCTATAATTACTTTTGAGCATTTATCAAAACAAGGAATTCAGGTCTTAGGATCGATTCCTCCTAATTGCAAACAATTTCTTATGGGTCACGCCTACAGATATATTTACCCGATTTCAGAGGAGCTTGTATAGGTTCTGTGGATTAGTTAGGGAAAAACCGTGGACATCCCAATTATCAAAAAAAATAAAAAATAAAAAATAAAAATAAAAAAATAAAATTGCTTTTATTGCGTAATTATATATTCATTACAAACATATTAGTGCAACAAGAGAGAAAATTATATATGTGTTCCTTCTAACTACTTTGCAGGTGTAATTCCTTTGGAGATGGGTAATCTTCCACGTCTGGAAATATTGAGCTTTCAAAATGGCTCTCTAACAGGCCCCATTCCATCTTTCATCTTCAACATTTCTTCTTTGAAAAATATTGATTTCACAAATAATAGTCTGTCTAAAAGTTTGCCGATAGATATGTGCATCCATCTTCCAAAACTTGAAGGACTCTATCTTTCTCGGAATCGGCTTCATGGACAAATTCCATCCAGTTTATACAAATGTAGGGAGCTCCAATATTTGTCATTTTCAGTCAATGGCTTTGATGGAAACATACCTAGAGAAATTGGCAAACTGACTATGCTCAAGGAGTTATATCTTGGTAATAACAACTTGAAAGGTATGATTTTACGTTCACATCTGACCCAAGAGTTTGTAGTTTTGAGATATATATATACACCTTTTATTGGTGGTGTTTCCCTCACTAATTGTTTAACCATGTCATGCATAATACTAGACCGATCAATTGGACTTGTAAGTTTCCTTCTTTATTTTTGAGTTTGTTTTTCTTTTTGTTTTATGTAAAGGGTATTCTATAATTACTTGTGAGCATCAAAACAAGGAATTCAAGTCTCAGGATCAATTCCTCCTAATTGCAAACAATTTCTTATAGGTCACGCCTACAGATATAGTTACCCGATTTCGGAGGAGCTTGTACGGGTCCTGTGGATTAGTTAGGGAAAAACCTTGGACATCCCAATTATCAAAAAAAAAAAAAAAAAAAAAAAAAAAAATTGTTTTTATTGCGTAATTATATATTCATTACAAACATACTAGTACAACAATGGAGAAAATTATATATGTGTTCCTTCTAACTGCTTTGTAGGTGTAATTCCTTTGGAGATGGGTACTCTTCCATGTCTGAAAATATTGAGCTTTCAAAATGGCTCTCTAACAGGCCCCATTCCATCTTTCATCTTCAACATTTCATAAATAATAGTCTGTCTGGAAGTTTGCCGGTAGATATGTTCATCCATCTTCCAAAACTTAAAGAACTCTATCTTTCTCGGAATCGGCTTCATGGACAAATTCCATCTAGTTTATACAAATGCACGGAGCTCCAATATTTGTCATTGTCATTCAATGACTTCAATGGCAGCATACCTAGAGAAATTGGCAGCTTGACGATGGTCAATGAGTTATATCTTGGAATGAACAACTTGGAAGGTAATTTAAGTTCATATCTAACTAACAAGTAATTAGTTATATATATATATATATATATATATATATATATATATATATATATATATATATATTCCGCGGAGAAGAAATTCCACAAGCAGAATGGAATGTTGATAAACTTGTATCGGAGTTTCTCTTGCTAGTTAATTTTTTAACCATATCATTCATAACACTAACAGGGTCCATCCCATCTTCAATCTTCAATATTTCTTCTCTGAGAACAATTGATTTCTCAAACAATCGCCTGTCTGGAAGTTTGCCTTTTGATATCTGCAACCATCTTCCTATACTTGGACGACTTAATCTCTCTTGGAATCAGCTTGAAGGGCATATTCCATCTAATTTATACAAATGCAAGGAGCTCCGAGATTTATCACTGTCAGATAATGGCTTTAATGGCAGCATACCGAGAGAAATTGGCAACCTGACTATGCTTAAGGAGTTATATCTTGGTAGAAACAACTTGAAAGGTATGATTTTGAGTTCACATCTAACTTAGGAGTTAGTAGTCTTTATATATACCTTTTGTAGAGAAGAAAATCTAGAAGCAAAATTGAAATTAATAAACTTACATAGGAATTTCCCTTACTAGCTAATTATTAGCTTTATTTTTATTTTCAATTTAGTGTATATATGATGGTTTTGTTTTCATTTTTTATTTGATATTTAAAGGGTGTTCTAGTTTGACCTTTGAGCTTCAAAATAAGGTATTTATATCATCATAACTGGTACTCTTATGTGAACAATTGTTATATGTGTTGCTTTTGACAACTTCGCATGTAATTCCATCAGAGAATTGTAATCTTCAATGTTTAGAAGTATTGAACTTAGTCAATAGCTCTCTAATAGGGTCCATCCCATTTACAATCTTCAACATATCTTTGCTGAGAGTAATTGAACTCTCAAACAATAGTTTATCTGGAAGTTTTTTGGTAGATATGTGCATCCATCTTCCTAAACTTGGAGTACTTTATCTTTCTCGGAATAAGCTTCATGGGCAAATTTTATTCAATTTAGGCAAATGTAGGGATCTCCGATATCTATCATTATCGTTCAATGATTTCAATGGCATCATTCCTAGAGAAATTGGTAACTTGACTATGCTCAATGAGTTATATCTTGGAATGACCAACTTGGAAGGTAATTTAAGTTCATATCTAACTAACAAGGAATTAGTTATATATATATATATATATATATATATATATATATATATATATATTCCGCAGAGAAGAAATTCCACAAGCAGAATGGAATGTTGATAAACTTGTATTGGAGTTTCTCTTGCTAGTTAATTTTTTAACCATATCATTCATAACACTAACATGGTCCATCCCATCTTCAATCTTCAATATTTCTTCTTAGAGAATAATTGATTTTTCAAACAATCGTCTGTCTGGAAGTTTGCCTTTCGATATCTGCAACCATCTTCCTAAACTTGGAAGACTTAATCTCTCTTGGAATCAGCTTGAAGGGCACATTCCATCTAATTTATACAAATGCAAGGAGCTCCAAGATTTATCACTGTCAGATAATGGCTTTAATGGCAGCATACCGAGAGAAATTGGCAACCTGACTATGCTCAAGGAGTTATATCTTGGTAGAAACAACTTGAAAGGTATAATTTTGAGTTCACATCTAACTCAGGAGTTAGTAGTCTTTATATATACCTTTTGTAGAGAATAAAATCTAGAAGCAAAATATAAATTAATAAACTTACATAGGAATTTCCCTTACTAGCTAATCATTACCTTTATTTTTATTTTCAATTTAGAGTATATGTGATGGTTTTGTTTTCATTTTTTATTTGAAATTTAAATGGCGTTCTAGTTTTACCTTTGAGCTTCAAAATAAGGTATTCATATCATCATAACTGGTACTCTATGTGAACAATTGTTATATGTGTTGCCTTAGACAACTTCGCATGTGTAATTCCATCAGAGATTGGTAATCTTCAACGTTTGGAAGTATTGAACTTAGTCAATAGCTCTCTAATTGGGTCCATCCCATCTACAATCTTCAACATATCTTTGCTGAGAATAATTAAACTCTCAAACAATAGTTTGTCTGGAAGTTTGCTGGTAGATATGTGCATCCATCTTCCTAAACTTGGAGTACTTTAGCTTTCTCGGAATAAGCTTCATGGGCAAATTACATCCAATTTAGGCAAATGCAGGGATCTCCGATATCTATAATTATCGTTCAATGATTTCAATGGCAGCATACCTAGAGAAATTAACAACTTGACTATGCTCAAGAAGTTATATCTTGGTACTAACTCACAAGTTAGTAGTATTGATATGTGTGTGTGTGTGTGTGTGTGTGTGTATATATATATATATATTATGTAGAGAAGAAATTCCATAAGCAGAATGGAAAATTGATAAACTTTCATAGAAGATTCCCTTGTTAGCTAATTGTTCAACCATATCATTCAAACCACTAGCAAAATAAGTCTTGTAAGTTTCTTTTTTATTTTCATCATGTGAGGATTTTGTTTTTATTTTTTTGTTATATGTAAAGGGTGTCCAAAATTTACCTGTGAGCATCAAAACAAGTTATTCATATGATTTAACTTGGTACTCTTGTGTGACCAATTGTTATTATTATGTAATTCTATATTAATTACAAGCATATTAGTATAACACGGGAGAAAATTATACATGTGTTGCTTCTGACAACTATGCAGGTATAATTCCATCAGAGATAGGTAATCTTCAACATTTGGAAGTAATGAACTTAATCAGTAGCTCTTTAACAGGGTCCATTCCATCTTCAATCTTCAACATTTCATCTTTGAGAATAATTAATTTCTCAAATAATACCCTGTCTGGAAGTTTGCCTGTAGACATGTGCAACTATCTTCCTAAACTTGGTGGACTCTATCTCGATTTGAATCAGATTCAAGGGCATATTCCATCAGATTTATACAAATGCCGGGAGCTCCAAGTTTTATCACTGTCATTCAATGGCTTTAATGGCGGCATATGTAAAGAAATTGCCAACCTGACTATGCTCAAGGAGTTAAATCTTCGTGAAAACAACTTGAAAGGTATGGTTTTAAGTTGATATCTAACTTTTGATTTAGTAGTTTTGGTATATAGTATATACTTTCTGTGGACAGGAAATTCCATAAACATAATAGAAAATTGGTGAACTTGTATAGGAGTTTCCCTTGCCAGCTAGCTAATTGTTCAACCATATATCATGCATATCACTAGTTATATATAATTATATATATGCCTTGTAGGTTTCTTTTCTATTTTATTATTTTTTTCAATCAGTGTCTTTGGGAAGATTTTATTTTATTTTATTTTGTTATATATAAAGGGTGTTCTAAATTTACTTGTGTGTATCAAAATTATGAGTTACATAGTGCGGAAGTGGTGTACGTGAAAAGTGGATCTCAGACAAAAAACCTCTTAGACAAAAGAGCTAGGGGTGGTGAATAGGTTTAGTTTGATCTCAGACAAAAGACCTAGGGGGTGGTGAATAGGTATAGTTTGCGCTTGTGAATAACTTTTGCATTTAAATTATTTTTATTTTATTGAATTAAAGCTAAACCAATCACAAAATAATAAATAAATATTAGTAAAGTAAATAAAGTTAGAGATGACATCAGGTATTTTTTTTTTTAAGTGGAAGAACCTCAGCAAGGAAAAAACTACGAATCTAGTCGTCTCTCCCAAATCAATCCAATATCTCAAAGCAGTGTTATGCATACCTTGTTTGAGCCTCACATCTACTCCACTTAACTAAGAACTAGTAGTTGAACGTCCCATACTGACTCCTACAACTCCTCATCATATTGTTGGAACTGTAGTCTTATTCCTCAATTCTTGCACACGAGTTGCTTGTAGAACACTCTATCCCCTTTCGTAGTAAGTGGATCACTTTCCTTTTAATCACGAAGTTGAAAGGAAAAATAAAATCATGCGCTAATCGAACAAAATAATCCGTAGATGTCTCGATAGTGTTGATCAAATAAAGAACATCATCCTAATATCACCCATATGTATCTGTGCTCTCCAATAAAGAAAATCAATTTAGAAAATTGGTTGATTCTTTTGTCACAGAAACTCACTCCAAAGCTCAAAGAATTAAAGATAAATATGTCTCTCTAATGTGTGTAGAGCTGGAGAAAAGAAGAATTTTTATAGACAAGAGAGTCCAGATAAAAATAGGAAAATGAGTTTTAAATTATAATTGGATGTCCCTAGGTTTTTGGTTGAAAAGGGAATCAAAAATCAATCCAAAAACATAGATATATTTGGTAGAGAAATGATGGATTTTCTGCTTCAAAACCATATAAAAGGACTGAACTATATGTATAGTGACTCATAAATAAAATATTTGAGAATAGTTTGATACAAGTATAATACAATGATAACTATAAATAGTTAGATGTAGGTACACAAATTTGATTTTTTTCTAATATTTGAGGTTAATACTCTTTCGCAATTCAATTATGTTCATTTGATCCCTTCTATAAAAGGCTATCTCTTGATTTATACTTTCTCTTATTTAGACTTAAAGCTTGATTAATAATGCTAGGGTGTTCATGTTGTGAATGGCAGGTACTTTACCAGATGGGATTGGTAACCTTAATCTCGAGAGTCTTGATGTCTATGGAAACACTTTAACTAGCACCATTCCGTTCAAAATATTCAATGTGTCAACAATGAAAATCCTTAACCTGGGATTTAATAACTTTTCTAGCAATCTTCCTTCGGACATGGGGTTTTGGCTTCCGAATCTTGAAGAGTTTTATCTAATCATGAACAAACTCAGCGAAACAATCCCGAGCTCTATCTCTAATGCTTCTAAGCTTACCATCATTAGCATGAGCATGGACTCATTCACTGGAACTATACCCAACACACTTGGTAGTTTAACACTCTTGCGGAAGCTCTTCCTTCATACAAACAGTTTGAAGGGGGAAACTTCTACTCCAGAGTTGAGAATTTTCTCTTCTTTAACAAATTGTAGACAATTGGAGGTCTTGCGCATATCATTAAATCCACTAAACGGCATACTTCCAGTATCTGTCAGGAATTTGTCTACTAGACTACAAGTGTTTGATGCATTTGGCTGCAAAATTAGGGGCAATATTCCCAGTGGAATTGGCAATTTGAGCAACTTGGTAATCCTACGATTAGGAAGCAACCATTTGACTGGACCAATTCCGAAATCACTAGAGAGATTACAAAATCTCGTACGTTTGCATCTTCAAAACAATGGATTGAAAGGATCCATCCCCGATGACCTCTGTCGGTTAGGGAAATTGGGAGATTTGAATGTGAGTGATAATATGTTGTATGGACAGATTCCAACATGCTTGGGTTAGCTTAAATCTCTCAGATGGCTCTACCTTGACTCCAACAAATTGAGTTCCAAGGTACCGTCAAACTTGTGGAGCCTTGAAGACCTTTCGGGTCTCAACCTATCCTCAAACTTTCTAACTGGTGAGCTACCATTGTTTGTCGGAAACTTAAAGGTCATAACCCTAATTGATTTGTCAAGGAATCAATTATCAGGTACAATCTCAAACACTATCGGAGGAGCTCAGTCGTTAGTTTCTCTCTCGTTGTCTAACAATAAAATACAAGGACCTATTCCTCGATCACTAGTCAACCTCATAAGCTTGGAATTATTAGATCTATCTAGTAACAATTTGTCTGGAGAAATTCCCAAGTCCTTAGAGGCACTCAGGTATCTCGAATATTTAAATGTGTCTTTCAATTAACTAGAAGGAGAAATTCCTATTGGAGGACATTTCCCTAATTTTACATCTCGATCATTTATGCATAATGATGCACTTTGTGGTGAACCCCGACTACAAATTCCCCCTTGTAAAAGCAATAAGAATGGCCGATCAAGGTCGAAAATGGTACCCGTGCTGAAATTTATCTTACCCTCAATTGCATTAGCATTCCTTGTTATGGCCCTCATATTTTTGTTGAAAATAAATCGAAAACAAAAGATCAAATTGCGTACCGAGGAAGATATATCACCCTTTGCATGGAGAAAGGTTTCGTATCAGAAAATTTTACAAGCAACAAAAGCATTCAGTGAAACAAACCTAATAAGCATGGGAAGTTATGGTTCAGTATATAAAGGAAAGCTTTTGGATGGGATGAATATCGCCTTGAAGGTATTCAATTTGCAACTAGAAGGAGCTTTCAAGAGTTTCGATGTCGAGTGCGAAGTAATACGTAACATTCCTCATCGGAACCTAATTAAAATCATCAGCAGTTGCAGCAACATGGATTTCAAAGCCTTGGTACTAGAGTACATGTCTAATGGGAGCCTCAAGAAGTGGTTGTATTCTCATAACTATTGTTTGGACATTTTACAACGATTAAACATAATGATAGATGTCGCGTCAGCATTAGAATATTTACATCATGATCATGCAACACCTATTATTCACTGTGATTTGAAACCGAGCAATGTCCTCCTTGACGAAGACATGGTTGCACGTGTTGCTGATTTCGGGATTGCAAAACTCTTAGGTGAAGGAGATCTAATGGTACAAACCATGACCTTGGCAACAATCGGGTATATGGCACCAGGTGATGTTTGTTAATTCAATTTTCAGCTTTTCCTATTTATTTTATGAACTTGTGTAGTCCTTTTCCTTGATTAGAATCTTTTTTCATTTTTTTTTTTTTTTTCTAATTAATAATGTTGATGTGGAGCATAGAGTATGGAATTGAAGGAAGAGTGTCAACAAAATTTGATGTCTATAGTTATGGTGTCTTGTTGATGGAAACATTTTCAAGGAAGAAGCCGACTGATGAAATGTTTGCCGGAGAGGTGAGCTTGAAGCGTTGGGTGAAGGAAGCAATAAAGGGTTCGATAATTGAAATTGTGGACCAATCTGATAGAAAGAGATGATCAAAATTTCTCTGCTAAGGTGGAATGTGCATCATCTATCTTTCGTTTGTCCATGGATTGTTCCAATGATTCAGCTAAGGATCAATATGATTGATGCTTTGGCCACACTCAAGAAAATCAAAACCTCTTTTCTAGCAAATATTGGTACCAGCTAGAAAGATGAAGCAATCAAGATTAACATGTATCATTTTTTGTAGTATTTTGTACTTCTCATTTTTTTCTCTAATAATTTAGGTCCGCTTTGAAACAATTTTTCTTGAGAGAAATGAAGTTGAAGGTCGTGTTATAGTTCGTGTGCTGTGAATAATTCAAAATTTGCATCCTTAATTTAAACTCATTTCTGGATCAATCTTCTTCTTATTCATTCATCATGAGGCAACATCTCTCTACACTCACCCACTCCCTTCTCTCCTCACCCACTCAAACCATTTTTCGACCAGTTAAAATTCTCAGAACCTCAGTCTTTGACTCTTCAACAAGTGCAGCAGGTCCGCAAAAGTGCGATCTGTCGTACTCCACCAGAATCTGCAATCTAATATAGTTTGAGTCACACTCTAACATGTATGTCCAAATTATTTTCCCTCTAAATCTGATGTGGGATAAGTTTCATCTAACGACCAACAGAGATGTAACTTGAGTATTTACCTACTAGAAGGTATGATAATTTTTTTTTTTTTTTTTAAGTTAAAGCGACTGCCCACACATGCACATGCAATTTTGTCCCTAGTGGGGATCGAACTTCAACTCGTTTTTTAGAGAGGGAGATCAGATCATCTGGACCATTGGTTACTAGACATATTAGCATAAATACGTACCTTGGAATTAGCAGACTGCATACGCACAAATACATGTAGTTGTTACATTTATTGAATAGCTTTTATTTGACAAACCAAACCTTCATCATGGACTACATATTTTCCAGAGACTAATGAAAAGAAATATATTACATACACATGAAAGAAAAGGAAAATATAATGATCACATTTCCAATCCACCAATGCCAATTAACTTGGTCAGTCCAAAAGTAATCGCCATGGCCATGCATCCCCCAATTAGCACCCTAGCACATGACTTCACCACAGGAGTCCTCCCCAGCACAGCTCCAACCCCTCCAAGCACCACCAATGCCAAGGTCGCTGCAGCCACCACCACACCCATCCTCACCTTGTGGTCGTGTATAAATGCAGCAGCAAGCAACGGCACTAAGGCCCCGAGTGAAAACGCAAGCGCGGATGCTAAAGCTGCCTGCACTGGATTGGGCAGCTTTTCCTTCTGTGTCTCTTGTACTGCTACTTCATTATCTCCCATCCCTCTCCTCTTCTCTCTCTTCATTTGAGCCAGCTCTATGTCCAGTTGAGAATATACGGAGACAAACTCGCCTGTAGCCATGCTACAAGCCCCAGCAACTAACCCTGCAAAGCCGGTAAGGATCATGGCCTTAACGTCTTTATTAACGCCTCCTACACCCATCATCAATGATGCAACTGAGACCAAACCATCATTGGCTCCCAACACAGCAGCTCGAATCCACTGTGCCCTTTGAGAGTAATCAAAATCGGGTTCTTGGCATTCTTTATGCTCAGTTTGACACTCAGGAAAAGAAATTTGGACATCATTTAGTGCAGCCATGAGGTAGTTATATGACACAGTAAGGTAAAAGGCTAAGTACTACACAAAAGAAGAAAAAGGAGAGGATAGGTAGATAGAGTAGTACTACTTGTGGAAGACACACACCCCTCATGAAGACTATATATAGAGGGGGACTAGATTAGTTTATGAAGTGGTGGTGGTGCAAATGGAGGAAATAGTGTGGAAGGCACAAGCCCATGATCGATGCTGGCTTTTAATTAATGCAAAGATATAAATTTAAAATATTGTCTTTAGTCTTTCGTAGCAGCATCGCTCTTTAATTGTTACATGGAATCTCTATATTGGTAATTGGCTGCCAGTATCCAATTTGTATTGTGTTTTCTTAAGCAGACGTGTGATAAAGTTCATGCCATAACTTCGAGTTTCATGTCTACAACAGGCTCGATCTCTTGTTCAGTGGTTTATGCATCTTTAACTTCTGATATACAACACTAGCCTTGGTGGTCAAATACAAAACCGCTTGAGATATATAGAATTGGGTTTTCGCGCAGAGCCTCTACTTACGTAAAGGGCTAGCTCAGTGCACAAGATCTCACCATTGTGACGTCAGAATTCAAACCTTGACCTTCAATGAAACTTCTACTTACATAATTAAAATTTTTACTTTATTGTTGAAATGAATGAGTTATCTTAATACACATCTAAGCTTCCTATACGAATCCAACAACAACTTAATTGGCAAGGGCACATCTATATATACTTATGCTTAATTGGCAAGAGCACATTCATATGAAGGAAAAAGATTAAATATATAAAAGAGAGAAGAATGATTGAATGAGACATTCTTAGATCAAGAAGAGATTATGTAATTCTCTTTTTTATTCAGTTGAATGAAAGAGAAGGTAATAAACTTACAAATTATTGTGTTCGTTAAGAAAGAAAGGAAGAGATAGTTTTAAATTATTTTTACAATTATAGCCATCACTATCTATAGTATTATAATTTAAAACTTGATAAATAGCCTCACTTATCTTCCCTCTTCTTTTTCAACTACTTTTCTGTTCAAATTTAGAGGGATAAAAATTTGTAAAAGGATGAAAAATGACCCATATTTCCTATTATCATTTCTCTCCTTGTCTTCTCTCCACCAAATGAAAGAAGCTTGTTCCTCCATCCATCCTATCTTCCCTCCACCCCTCTTCCTTCCTTCTTACCGAACAAAGCATTAATGCCGCATAAACTACATTTCAAGAACTGAGAACTTCATTGTATGTGAAACAACATACTTTACTCAACTCTAGAATGGTACCTTAAGTATGTAGCTTGAAGGTATTCAAGATTTGATAATCTCATCTGTTCAACATGATTTACAACTAATGGTCTAGTGCATGTTAAACATCCAAAACCTAAAATAAGAATCAATCTCATGATTATATTTGTGTTACTGCACTACCAAAAAAATGTCATACTTTTTGTTTATGTGTGTGACCGTATATAACTGTTCTTTTTTTCATGTACGTGAACAGAGAGAGAGATGGAGTGCTGAATAGGAGTGCACTTACAGATAAACCACAGAAAGAAGATACAGAGAAGATATATTATTTGTTAGTATGAAATTGGAGAGAGTGCGCATTCCACACGAAAGTGGGAAGATATATGAAATAGTAAAATGGAGGGAGTGTGAAATCCACACAGAGACCACGAGTTCCTCATATTAAATTGAATGTTATGTGATGTTTTTTTTGGTTAAAAATGTTATGTGATGTTGATTCAATGTACTCTTCTCTTTTCCTAACTCTCCACTCCAGCAAAAAATGTCACAAATGGCGGTTTTTTGCTTTAGATATATATATATATATATATATATATATATATTGTGTCTTTTTCTATTTTTAAATGTCTGCAGAGGATATTTAAGATCCTTTCTTTTTGTGGGTTAGTTTGGTGGGTTGGTTGACAGTCCTCTGGACATTCTTGTGGGACTGTAATTTTTAGTTTATGGCCTTCAAACATTTTTTTTTTTTTTTTTTTTTTTTTTTTTTTTGGGCAAAACGCACAGTTTTAGTACCTCAACTCGAACAACCTTTCATTTATTAATCTGGAGATATATATTAAATATAAGTATAATATATTATATTATATATATTATACATATATTATATTCGTTTTCCTTCCTTTACTTCTTAATTTATTCCTTTTGTTTCCCTTCTTTCCTTATATATATATAATATATAATATATTATACATATATATTATATTCGGTTTCCTTTCTTTCCTCCTTCATTTACTTATTGATTTATTTATTTTATTTCCCTTCTTTCCTCCTTGATTTATTCCTTTTGTCTTCAACTTTATTTCCCACATAAAGAAATACAAGCAATAAGAGAAATGTAGTCTTAGTGACTCTTGATCCATGATGTAGGCCTTAGTGTCGAACTATGAATATAATGTGTTCTTAATCTTTCTCTATTTCATCTTCCTATTTTACATCTTATATTTCCGCATCATAAAGTTAACATGATATCAGAGCAACGATCCTAGATCATTTGCATCAAAGTTTACTTGTCTTCTTTATGGCTCCATTTGGAGTTCTGCCATTTTTTTTTTTTTTTCCTCCTTTCCTTTACTGATTTGCGGAAAGCAGTGAATGAGAAGACCAACAAAATCTGATCTGAGTAAAATCTGATCTGTTTCTGGTTCAGATCTCTCTTTGTTTTCCTTTTTCGATCAACCATGTTGTGACGGCCTAAGTTTTGTAAACCCGGTGCGTTAGTGATGATCAAAAGATGACCCGATAACGGATCCGAAATGCGAAAGTGAAAGGTGAAACAACGGTCTATAGAGATACAATGTATCTCTAAGACACCAATGTGACCCTAAATGAGGTCATGGAACCTAAAGGAAAACAAATGCGGAAGTGTCGTTTCAAAAACGGACAAAAAGGAACTTATGGGCAAAATGGTCATTTTGCAAAAAAGTGGATTCAAGTGCTATCGAGCACACCACTGGGAAGACAATGAAAAACTAATCATGATGGACTCAAGAATCTTATTATTCGGATTCCGGACAAAGGAGAAACGACAAAACAAAGAAAAACGAGCAATAAAGCTAAAAGGGGTAAACTGGTAATTATCCAAAAATATCTGGGTGCAACCGAGTACACCGTTGGATAAACAATGAAAAATTAATCAATTTCAAAAAAAAATTCACTTGATTTGGGGTCCGGATGAAGGAGAAAGGTCAAAAACAAAATCGACGTCGCGGCGTCCTGACGAAGGCTGTGACAGCTACAGTGCCGTCAACCCACTACTGCTGCAATTGAGAGTAAAAATGGGCATCTAAACGGACTTTTCTGGAAAAACTCAAAGAAAAAACCCCCCCAAAAATCAAGTTTCCTGCCCCGAATACGA